AAAATTACTTGAGGCAAAGCTGTTAGTGAACCAACGCCACATGAACGGTTGCAAAGATTTGACCCTCCACATTAGCAACACGGCGGCATTTACGCCAATCAGTAAGAAGGTTTGCATGAAACCATCGTCAGCACGATATTTCGCAAGACGACTCTTCTCCCTTTCAAATTTCTGCTTCACATATTCGTCAAAATCTTGCAACCTGAAAAAGCACATATTACCCATTCGAGGCCACGCTTTTCTTAGAGAATAAATATAAAAAGACGGTTCATTTTTGAGTTTCTGAAAAGGAGTTAAATGAGTCAAATCAATGCCGGAGCGGGTAAAAATGTGTTCATTGAACAAAAAGTTTCCCAAGCTAATCTGTGACCATATGCCGGACTGGCACTGTTGCATATTCACATACAAACCGCTGTTATCGACAACTTTATGTTTTTCTAATTTGGCAAACAGCAGTGAGTGACAACTCCTCGACTTGAACGCCGCCACTCCTAGACCACAATGAAAGTACCTTATCGACAGCCGAAAATTAAAAAAAAGCACTGCTAACGTACCTTCTCATGGATCTCTTAAAATCCCAAACAGCTGCTCCAGCGAATGATACAAGCCCTACCTAAAAATAATTTTACAAAGCGCTAACTTCGGTGAATTGCCAATTTAGTATAACGGTGTTTTCAAATGTCTTCAGGATAAGCTTTGAAAAACAAATGATCTCGGTTTACTTTAGTCTGTACGTAGTGTACGCATTTGAAGCAGCGTAAAGAGCGCTGTTATCAATTTGAAGGCCAAAGTCTGACTTTAACTCGACAGGCAGCCAATTCGTCTATCATTTTGATCATTCCTTCTGGTGGTAAATTAAAATCAGCAACTGTCACGAGCTCGAAATCACTATTGGCCTGCTTTTAAGCAACTTTCGACAAAGGGAGACTATTGAGAACTTTGCAGCCAGTATTTATTACTCGTATGGGCTGCTCTTAGGGTACTTCCATCTGCCTTTGCCTTTCATAGTCAGTGAATACGAAGTTTGAGCTTTGATAAA